ATTAATTGCATGTTTCACTAGAAACAGACCCCTACATGGTCAAGATTAATCCTCACAATCCGAGTTACTCACAGGTATATGATTAAGTTTAAATATTTTCTGACATTCAACTTTTCCGTAATTATCATTTTCGATCAACATTCGGTGAGGCCTCGTCCCTCAGCTGGCAGTGTGCGCTGAACAACAGCGTCGGTCCCGTCAATGAATAGGTTCGAGTCCCACCAAGGCTACTGAACGTGTCAGAATTTCAACATAACACTTCAATCAACCCAAATAGCAATTTGAAAAAAAACTACGAGAGTTAACCGTTTTATTTATTAAGTACTCTCAACGAATTCATCAAATCGACTTATCATCGTGTCTTCATGTACACCATTCATATAGACAAAACAGAGAAGCAGTTACGTCACCGAGTGACCGAAAATATCCGATGTTCCTTAAGAAAGTAATGGACGACAAGTTTGAAACTGTTAAGTCATCGAAAAGACTCAGATTTTCGATAATGCAAAACATTCACCTCCAAACCACGCATTTCAGGAAATAAAAAAGTTACGGAATTTGTTGGGGCTTTATCCATTCATACGTTCTAACATATTCTTTGTTATTAGGGGCGAAAATTTTGCAGAAAATTAATCCAAAAATACACTTAGTTTTGAGCTTTTCATGATTATCGTGTGTATAATGTGATAGTTGAAGACATTTAATTTTTGCGTAAACCTCCATGCATTTTTTAAATATTTGTAACTTTGAAAGAATAAAAATTTTGTATTGATTTATCGTAAGAGGTCCCCTGAAACATCATTCAGTCAGACTTCAAATAGTGTTTCACAATGGTCGCTAAGAGACAATTTCCCCAAACAAACTATGGCTTACCAGAATGAGTTGTTGCAGTCGTCTAGCAGATTATATGCTCTTCTCTTTGTAAGCTGGATTTACATTTACTTGCGCAAATCAGTCTCTGTTCTCTGTGCTATTGCGAAGCTTATCTGCTCTGAACAAGCTTAATTATGTACTTTATTTTGTCATGCTTTTATCTTGCATGGATATGAGTTCAGTTCTAGAATATCTCAGTTGCAGCTTAAAAAACCATTAGGCATGCATTTTGGTGCAAAGATTTTGGTTGCTGTCTTTTGGCTGCCCATTTGGGTGAACAATGAGAGGAAAACAAGATGGTTGAAAGTAGGATCGAAAAGAAAATCGAGAGATTCAGTGGACTAATGGTACAGAGAAATTGAGGAGATGCACGAACTCCATTGGTTACGACACCAAGACATATCACTCAGTGTATCCAACCATCGGTTACGACCATCCCGAGGTCCCCAGCCAAGGAGCCTAACGGGACCTATGTGACACATTCCTGGTTAAGGTTTTCATACCCTCATGCCAGGTCTTAGCNTGACCACCCTGGGCTTTATTCCACCCATTACCTGCCTCGGCAAACATCGCTCGCCGTGGCAACCTATTTTGTGACGTGCGTAACACATGCCCCAACCAACGTAA